AACAAAGTCCAAATCTTTGGACTCGATGCCTCATAGTCTTTCTACCATAGAGTTATCTTCCTAACCAACCTGTCTTTCTAGAGTCTCTGCTACTATTTCTTGGTTTAGAAATAGCCACTTCAAATACCAGAGTCAAGACTTATTGCAACAACTGTAGCCAGAACTGTACTTGTCCCACTAGGCTCACTTTGCTAAGGTAAGAAATTGATCTCACCCAAAGGCATCCATCTCCACTGACCCTGAATAAGAGACAGTTATTCATGTCTTGGGGAGCACAGAAAATCCAAAGAGTTCAATCAACAAGTCTTCACATACCAAGAGGGCTATGCTTTGGAGAAGACTATAAAAATATGAAGTTTTCCTAGCATTTCAGATGTGCTGGGATGAATGATTGAACTAGGTGGGACATGTAACTGTAGTCTTCTCATCTTCAGAGTTGACAGCCATGAATGGCCTGGCAATTTATCTCTGGAAATCTGTTTTCCAAGGGGAAAGCAAATGACTAAAAAATGCAAAAATCAGGAAGTAAGTAGAGATAGCATGGCATTAGCTCCATTTTTTCCCCCAGCAGGTCAATACTGAGACATGACCTCTCCATTTCTACTTCACACAGTTACTTTCTATGGCAATCAGAGGGTGTGTTGAAATATTTCCATATTTGGTTATCAGGATATATTACCATCTTTTCTCAAACATGCTCTAATGAGTCATAGAAAGCACCCTGCCACCCTCTCAAAATCAAACACACATGAAGACCCTATGACCCTTCCTCTAATTGGCAGTGAGTTTTACTCATGTAATATTATCAATTTTTCTATCGTTGTAATTTCAAGTTATAATGTCTAGAAGAAGACACAGACTGGCTGGTCAGACTATAACAGATAATTATATCTAGTATCCTTTAAGACAAAGTAAAGGCAGGACAAATGCAACACGTTTAAAGGAAATACGTCTATATGGGAAACAGCTCACTTTGTGTTTTTCTAGGGTGCTGGGTTAATAGTGAAAATGCAAAGGAAAAGGCCAGTCTGCTTAAGACTGGGAATAAAGTGTTTCCTATTGGGTTTTTAAGAGCTCTCTGCAACTTCAGCACCACAGACTCAGCACTGCCCCAAGCTCTTCCATAACAGGCTTTTATTGCTTTAATTAAGCAAGGTTGGGTGGGACAGATTAACTCCATGTCTTTTGTAACGTTATTGTTGCCACTTGTGGCTAGCAGGAGCTCTTTACCTTTTGTACTTGATGCCTGGCCTGCACAATTAGCACCTGATTATAGGCTGGCCTCTCCTAATTACCATGTCTCAATTGAGCACTTAATTTTATTGTCTTGTTCATGCTCTAGTTCAAGGATCTGGGCTGCCCAAATATAATAAATTCTAACTCCTTTTAGGCAGGTGCTGTGTTTTGGGTTTCTTTCCTCTTTTGTCCACAACATTAGGGAGTCACAGGCATGCAAACACTTACTGTCTGAAGATTTTCGAGATCTGAGTACGGCACATGGTTGGAACCTGGGTCTCCATGCATGCCTGTTCAACCCTAGCACCAGATCTATTGACCTTCTTTGTTATTGAAGGCTTTCTCCTTAGTGACTTGTAGTGAAGCTCTAATCTGCCTGTATATAACCTTTTGCCTTATTTAAAGGGTGGGGCTGAAACAGACAGGAACTTCCATCAGTACAACATTCCATGGATTCAAGGATTCAAGGGCTATGAGCTTACACTTGAACAGACTCCTCACTTTTAGAATTAAGACTAACTATATAACTATACAGGGCAGTTACCAATTACATAACAAATATGGGCTTCCTTTACCAAATACTCTGGTGAACAAAATGAAGCCTGGGGGAGACTGTGAAAAATAATGGTGAGGAGTGCAGGCACAAGAAATAAGATGCCTGATGTCAAATCCTGGCTCTGCTACTTACTAGTTATGTGACCTATAATCTTGGTCAAGGCATTTAACCTCTCTGTGCCTCAGTTTCCCAATCTGTAAGTTAGGGATAAAAGTACTTGCCTCTTAGGACTGTTGTGAGAACTGAATCAGTTAATCTCTATAAAATGCTTAGAAGAATTCTTGGTACATAATAAGCACTATGTAAATTAGCATTGAAGAAAATTAATAGAGTACAGGGTCTTAGAATAGTATGCCTCCAAAAGAATCTGAAATTGACAGATCAGAAAAGACACAAGAAGAAAAGTCTGCATCTGGATACCATAATATACTGGACATTAGGTGTTTTTTATGACCCCACATAGTTCTCTACTAGGTGCACTTAAAGGGAAGACATCTTGCAGGATTGGTCTTTGCCCTCTAGGAAAACTGAGAGGTGAATTGTCTTTTCTGATCTGTCAATTTCAGATTCTTTTGGAGGCATACTATTCTAAGACCCTGTACTCTATTAATGGAAAAACAAGCTGGTTAATGGAATAATATGCCATACTTGACTTCTTGAGGGTTTTTTTTTTTTTTTTTTTGGCTATCATACTTTCTCTAAATTGCTTCAATAAACAACAACAAAACAAACATCTCAAGTAATGGGTTTTAAAGATGTCTGATGCACTACCACAGGAAAGGTGATTAATAAGAATGTTTTGGCAGCATTTAATTGGAATGATTAGTGAAGGTGTCATTGTTTTAGTAGAGAATTTAATAAAAGGAATATTCTATTGTTTATACCCCTCATACCTACTTAGCCTAATATGTCAGACATCATACATTATTTAGCAAATACTGCCGACCCTTCTTCAGTATGAAATCTTTTTTCAATTGTCAAGGAAAAGTTCAAATATATGTTCTAGGCTGGGTGTGGTGACTCATGCCTGTAATCCCAGTGCTTTGGGAGGTTGAGGCAAGAGAATTGCTTGAGGCCAGAAACTTAAGACTAGCCTGGGCAACGTAGTGAGATTCCAGTTATAAAAAAAAAAAAAAGAAAAAATTATCAGGCATGGTGGAGGTTGAAGCAAAAGGATTACTTGAGGAGTTTGAGGCTACACTGAGTTGTGATCATGTCACTGCACTTCCGCCTGGGTGTCACAGTGAGACTCCATCTCTAAATATATATGTTCTATATTTTTAAAGACATTGAAAGATTTTCATATAAAGATGATTCCATGGTATCCAAACGCAGGTTTTTCTTCCTGTGTCTCTTCTGATCTGTCAATTTGAGGCCACCTTTTAAATCCTCAGTCCCCTTAGACATGATAGGTATTAAAATCCCACTTTCAGAGTAATGTCTAGCACCAAATGCCATTTCTAACATCAGCAATCCCTTGTTATCTGATACAGAGTTACTCATATAGAATCCAATCATCCAACCACACATACACATCTATATGCCACAACAGGTGGGGCATCTCTACCTTCAATAGGAAGGAAGACCTTCCCCCTTCACCTCTCAGTTTTCCTAGAGGGCAAAGACCAATCCTACAAGATGTCTTCCCTTTAAGTGCACCTGTAGAGAACTATGTGGAGTCATAAAAAACACCTAATGTCCAGTATACTACGAAGTGATCATTTATTTTGGAGTGCACCAGTTTATTGCTTAAGAATGTGGGTAGGCACCTCCTCTCTGAATCCTTCTCAAATCCACCTCCCAAAGCCAATACCTACTGATGCCACCATGACCTGTGGGAATGTTGGCCCTGGAGCTTTCACTTCTGCCCAAGGACTTCTCTGTACATAAAATGTGTTTTTCTTGTCTTAGTGTCCCAGAGATAGCACAAAGTCCATTCACAGTAGGCTTTCAACAGTTTTCTGAAACTGTATTTGAAACCATTATCTGAGAAACATCAATCACTTTTTTTGGCTGATCAAGCCGTCAAGGGTTACTTTCACTTTTGAGAACAGGGAGGTTCCTCAAAACTGGAACAACCAGGAAAGTCATCAGATGCCCTCCTTGTCTGAGTCAGTTTGGGGTCACTTCCCCCATTTATCCACACGGCTCCTTTAAAACTTGCACCGTACCCTATCTGCCCCGCCTGAATGAGCTTCTTCGGTGACCCCAGCTTCACCTTGCAGGTATCCTATGGCTATCCAGGATCGTGCTCCCACTCGGTCACAACATAAGACTGGATTTATTATTTTTTTTTCAGGGCAAGTGTCCACAGCTTCCAGCGATCTCTGTCACCAGCTGAGGTTTCCAGTTCCCGCTGGGATGCGCTGGGGAGCACGGGCACTGCGCACCTCCTCTGCGCCGGTTACCAAGACCCTCCTCCTTGCTATCTTTGGGACAATGCTCTGGCGGCCACCCGTCGCAAAAGGACCCTGCAAAGTACTGGGTCAGAGAGCAAGCGTGAGCCAGCGAGAGATATTCCTGGGTACAGGGGTGGGGACGCCTCGGAACTAGTGCCCCCATTCCCGGCTGGGACCCTTCCCACAGAGAACGACCTAAAGAGAGCTTCAGCATCTCTTCTCTTCAATCATTCTAGGGACCAGGGAAGTGGAGGGCGGGGGGGGGGAGGGGAAATATGGGAAGACGGTCCCCGTCCCCCGGGGTCAATCACGACGTCCGCCTTTCCTCACTCGGCGTGTCTTTCTCTCCCTCTCTCACACACATACACGATCTGCTACTTCAACTCCAGTCCGAGCAACTACGCCGCGCGCCTGCCCACCGCAAGCGCCCCGGCCCGTGCGGCTCGCCTCACCCCAGCTTCCTTACCCCAAACCCCAGTTTCCCCTCCCAACTGACCGTGAAGTCGGAGGCAGTTCCCAGTCCCAGGCCCCCGTGGGGCTCCTGCCGCCGCCTCCCTCTGGAGTCTCCACCCCGGGACCTGGCCTCGGGCTGCGGCGATGGCTCCTCGGCACGAGGCGCCGCGGCTCTCTGGACTCGGCCAGACACGGGGCGGAGCACA